AGAAATTTCAAATGAGAAATTATGACAGATCACAGCTTTAACACGTCCATGCTTCATTAAATCTGTTTCTGACCACTGAGGCCCCTCAGTACATTAGCATCTGTTTACCTGAACCTCATCTGGGCATTTATCCACATGTTCCTGGAGGTGGGGGGGGAGGGTGTTTTAATTAGTGTGGATCTGAAAGCCGCTCTAATTAAAGTGCCTGGAGCATCATGTGTATCATCATCCCCACACTGAAAAATAGTGGTGGGGGGTCACTTTAACTGAAGCTTGTCAAATGGACTGTAGTTAAAGCACCCCCACTGCCACTTTTTTCAGCACAGGGATGCCAATATGTGTGATGCTGGAGTCTGCTGGAGCATGGTAATTACCACACTCCAGCAGACTCAATTAATCGAGTAATTACAGCATGTTGGAGTACCTTCCCTGCATGTTTATAGGTGCCCTTTGAGTCTAACTTCTCAGTGATGTCTCTATATCTTCCACTCTTTTCCCAGCATTGATTCAGATGCTGGGCCTGGGCATTAGGCTTAGCAGTCTGGTTCTCCCATATCTAGGTCTCCTGATCATATTGTGGCAATTCAAACAGTGGCTGGACCAGCAGTCTGCTGTCCTGACTTCTTCCGCCTCAGAACTGTTGCTGAGGGAGTACTTTCTATAAAGAAGTCTGAGCAGGTAAGAGATCTCACCAGGGAAGTGTAGGAATCCATGGTTTTTTCCCTTTCACATGCATTACCTCATTCTCAGAAAACATGCTGACCTCTTCCATGGTTTTTCAGGTGACACTGCTCACCAGCCAATAGTTAGGCTGGAGTTCTGGCCTAGACTGAGGTTATACTTATTCTAATTTATTTATTCCTGCTTTTGGGGAGATGTTTTTGGGCATGGTGGTGGGATATGGATCCTGGGTTTGGGAGGAGGCTAATTGACTGATACTTGTCTCGTCTATTTTTATGAGGTATGCGTTGCAATTGTTTCAAAAGTTATCAAAGTTATCTCACCCTGGCTAACTGTGAAAATGGTAAAATGTTGAAAGATGCATGGAAAATTAATATATTAGAATGATTGTTCAACAATGATTTTGAACAGGCTATGTGAATTGAATGCCTTTATATGGTGCTATAGTTCCAAGAAGGAAAATTCTTTGCAGATTAGAAAATCTGTACTTTTACCTTCTGGTGAAATAAGGGTGAACTTGTATGTCAAGAGACAGAGGAAAGAAAACAAGGGTTAAAATATATGCAGCAGATTAGCTTTGTGCTGAGTGTTGCCTCTTGGAAGTTAAAGAACCCAGAAAACCTCCCTTGGGGCTTTCCAATGTGGCAAAGCTTGGTTATATTTAGGGACCTACTGAATTTGTGGCAGAAGTGGCCTTCGTAGCAATTCCTTTAATTTTGGAGGTTCCCCTGCACCCTTCCCCTTCCCTGCCCCCAACTGCTGATTGGCTGAGGGGCTCCAGTGGTCCTGCTGCTTGCTGCTGACTGGCCAGGAGGCAAAAACAGCGTCATATTTAAACCCGCGGTTTTTGTCTCCCTGCCGATTGGGAGTGAGCAGCGGGGCCCCTCAACCAATTGGCTGGGGGTATGCGGGGGAACCTGCAAGATTAAAGGACCTGCCAAGCAGCCCACTTCTGCTGTGAATTTGGCAGGTCCCAAGTTATATTTGAATTAAATCAGGAACAGCAGGAAAGCTTATTTTCTCAAGAACCCAGACAAATAATAATCAGTATATGCTAATAAGATTATGTTGAATTAGTAATTAAAAAAAAATACAGCTTTGGAAAATGTCAGTTTATTGTATTAAACCTAAGCCAGAATGTTGGCAGCCCAAAATAATGTTCCCAGATGGCCTGGACATGGTTAAAGCAGCATTATTGCAATTAATGCCTGTATAGGGAACAGGCCTGGGAGTGTGAATATTCTAGTCCTTCCCTGACTTTTGAATAGTACTGAGAATCCCCTTTTAAGCCCCAGGGCCAAAATGTTGAAAGGTGACCACTGTATTTGGCTGCCTCAGTTTCTGATACTCAGCTAGTGATAGTCAAGCTAGGAATAGATGTTGTATTTGTCCCTGGACAAGTTGTGCCTGTGTATGTCACGGAACAGTTGATACACCCACCCCCTTCCAATCAGGATTGAGTGAGTGACTGAACACACTGCCACTTTTCTGCCATTGATTTAATTATGTGATCCTGGGATGCCCATTCAGATGCACTTTGTGGTGTCCTGGTAAAAACTGAGTACTTCATATCCCATGAACCTTTTTAGGATTTATCCTGGAACAACAGACATTGGTGTCTGTATGATCTCACTTTGTCCAGGGAAAAACAGTTTGTCCATACTGCATGTTAGCTACTACATACTAACTGCTTGTATGCATATTCTTACTCTCCGGTGAGTGATAGATAACTTGCATAAGTTTAGCCTTCTTTCATTGCCTTCTGCAGTATCTGTGCAAAGGGGTTTCTTCATCAGCTGGGCTCAGGGCTTTTAGGTCCAGATCTTTAAATGCATACTAGATATTGAATTCCTACTGCCCCAAAATTCTGTTCATGCCACTCTGTGAGCACATCTACATGAGCTGCTTTACTACGGATTAGAGAAATAAATATAAATAAACATACCAGGTTTTTTTGAGTTACTTACAGTGCTTGAAATCCAGCATTATGAAATCCACAATAAATTTAATTTTAACTGAATTCTTCTGCAATGCTCTTTATTTAACTTCAGTAATTATTTCTGAAAAAGTTAACAAATGTACAGGACCTATTGGCCTGAACCAGGAGCATAACAGCATCACTTAGATCATTTAATTGTGGTCACTGCCAATGAACATCATTATTATCGGTATTCCTTGGGTTCAAATGATAGAACCGATGAATTGCATAGCAGCGTTAACAGTCAAGGTCAGTGATTAAACCTCACTGAAATAAATTGAGTCTCCAATTCAAATCACTGCCACAGCAGCAGAACAACTTGATTTAGACCAATGGTTCTTGACGTTTTTCAGATTCAAGGTGCCCTTCAGTGCACCCCTCAGAAAAGGCCAGCTCTTATGCTTCACTCATTTTTTAATACAGAAAATTAATAGAGCAATTCTTCCATTGCAAAGAATGTGAAGACCACATGAAAGAATGCCTTTGACATTATGGTTCCTGTTTGAAATTTCTAGACCTATCATGTGGATCATGTAGATGTTTGCATATCTAACTATACTAATATTACATGGCACCCTTTAAAAGATCTTAAGGCACCCCAGGGTTATATGGCACTCTGGTTGAGAATTTCTGCTTTAGACCAGTGGTGCCCAGCCTTTTGCCTCTTCAAGGCTTATGTGTAGTATGAGGGTGGGTCTGCAGGCAAGATCCAGTCCAGGGGCTTGATCCAGCAAATGCCACCCTGCAGCTGGAGCCCTGTGCTGGGTCAGGCCCACCAGTCTCAGTCCCTATCTCATGCCAAATCAGGCCACTCTGCCCCTGCCCTGGCCCCACATGTGCTGGATCAGGCCCCACCACCTCAGCCCTGGCTTCCCAAATGAAAGCAGAATCCCACACCCGGGGTGTCATGTCAGCTGGCTGGTGGGATTTAGAAGTTTGGCAGTTCGGGATCAGTAGCAGTGTTAATTGCCACTGCTTCCCCACCCCACCAAATTTCTAGACCCTTGAGGATTCCCATGGGCTGGAGCACATGGCTCTGAAGACTGGATGAGGTTTGCTGCTCAGTGTCATAAAGTTAGATTGTTGCCAATTTCTAAAAATGGTAGAAAATAAAATATGGTTGATCTCACCCCTGTATGTTGTATGTTAGTTAAATTAGATGTTTGCCTTTTTTGTTCTTTGTAAACATTTTTTTCTTGTATTTTCCAAATACATATAATACAGATCTGGGCAAAGCAGAATATCTTGGCTTGTAAACATGATAGAACACTAAAACTATACAGACAGAACAATAAAACTATTCTGGCTATCACCAGCTGGGAATCTGTCCCTCTAGTTGTGATGAATATATATTGAGTCCTGAAATCTTTGACCTCATTAAAAATATAGATTAAACACAAATGAAAGTTTCATAAAAAATGAAAATTACATACATATATATATTTTTCCCCCAAACAAAACATTGTTCCATTTCCAACATTTGTGCATGTTCATATGGACTATAGCATCAACCAGAAAACACTATTTTATTAACACATTCTTTCTTTTTATATCACAGGGAAAAAGCCTAATGAATCTATAGCTCTGGGTTGTGCTTTCATAATGGCTCACAGAAGCACAAGATTAAAGGTACACAATAATGGATGCTAGAATTGCTTATAACCACAGAGCTCTTATAACTTATAGTCACAGAGCTCACTTTTTTGCCGATGTCTATCTTTGTAACAATTTAGTTGACTTTGTCAAAATAAGCATTTTCTTGCTTTAACCTTTTGTCTTTCCATTTCTTTGGGAAAGAAGTAAAAGAATGGCCAGGCAATAAAAATAAATCAACCTTTTGAAAAGAACATGATTTAATTGTTGTCATGGGCATCAAAATTCCAATACATTGTGAAATACAAGATAATAATGACACAGCACATGAACTCATTTGAATTATAGTTTTTCTCCCCAAGAACAGAAAATAGCACAGACTTTAACCAGCTCTTAAGCATTCTCTTCAGATATCATTCAAGCATGTAGGAAGCTCATTCCAAAATTTAGGATGTTTACTAACTTTGATATTTATAAAAGTAAAGCGGGGTCAGTTTCTCTGTGTGTGTGTGTGTGTGTGTGTGTGTGTGTGTGTGTGTGTACACCTAAAATGTATGTCCTTTTGCCTATGTGTGACCATTTCATAATTAATTGTATACTTTTATATTAATTTTAAAAACTGTTTACAGTTTAAGTCATGATTTTTTTTTTTTTTTTTGTAAAAATGTGCTCCCAGTAAATTATCTCTTAACTTTATTTGTTATAATGATAATAGATATAGTTATATATCTGGTAATCCAAGACTAGCTTGACCTCCACTAGAACACTAGAAAACCAATAGGCCTTTTGTCAAATAACATAGTAAACCTCATTTTAGACTGAGACTTCCAAAATGTGACTCAGACAATCTTCAGTGGGATTATTCAGCTGAATAATTGTCCATAGTGATCATATTAAAACTCAGAATTACTTGGGAGTGGCAAGAAGTGCTAATTCTCTATTGTGCTATGGCCCCTTTGTGCTGAAATATGAAGATCAGAACATCTGGGATTATTCTTATCCAGAGGGAGCATCTAGGTGGTACAGAGCCAGCTCAGCCACCGGTCCCTTAGAATCTGTTGTGCATGAAGCATGGTCACAGGCTGGATAAGGGTGCTGCTGTACTCTATCCAAAAGGCCACTAAGACATGGACAGATAGCTATAGATAGCATAGGTTTGCATCTCTTCTACTTTATGGTGGCAGTTGGTCAGATTCAAGGGTCTGCAAGGTGCTGCAAAGGTCATGCAAGCCAAATTTTCTCACACACACACACACACACACACACACACACACCCCCACCCACCTTCTTAGCCACACATATCTTAGTCTAGTAACATGCTCAGCTTCACACTTGGCATCTGGACTTCTATGTCTGTATTTATAGTTTATTGGCTCAGGATTTTACACACCTGCAAAAGGTGTGTGTGTGTGTGTGTGAGAGAGAGAGAGAGAGAGAAGGGGTGGGGGTGGGGGAGAAGAAGAAAAACCCAGTGGAAAAAGGACTTTGGGAAAAAAAGGTCTCTACAAGATCATGACCTTGGAGCTCCCCCCACAATGGCAACCTATGTACCTTCTTCCAAATTTGGAGGATCATCATGAAGGACAGGACCATCTACAGAATGGTCCTGTGTCTTTACACAGTCTCTGACTCCAAGTGGACTACTCAACTATTTGTAAACTGGACTCACACTACTTGTAACTCCTCTGGTCATTACTGCTCCCATGACTCCAGAAGGGAGAATGCAGAAGAAATGAAGCAATATTATCCATATCTTTTGCTCATTTTTCCATGAATTGGAAGGGGGATATATGGTCCTTCTAACCTGAAGCCTCTCCTTGTCCTGCCATTTCTTCCCCAAGCTAACATTACCAAGTTCCTCACCCTTCTTGTATACAAAAGCATTCAGAAAGGTGTCTAAAATGTCTTGCAGATATAGGGTGGGAAATGAATAGAGCTTTGGAAGTGACTGAGCTTCTTTAGGGAAAGGGACTTTAAAAGTGGCTTACCTTCTGCAGCATTTGTGGGAGATAGTGTTTGTGGGTCTAGGGGATATGAATAAGGCCTGTTGTTCATGTGGTGTAACTGTTTATGACAATAATGTGCAATAGTTTCAGGGACTCTTAACTGTTGAGGAAGTAGATAAATTACTATAGAATTGTGCATTTTTAATTATTTAGTTTCATTTAGATATTATGAACAAATATCCATGCTTGACAGTGATTTACCTAGAGGAAATTTTGCCTTCTAAGCTTGTTAGAAATAGTAAGATGAACTCCAATAGTAATACAATACCTTTCACACTAGAGTACTTTCTATTATAGTTTTTCCATGCATTTATTGGTCTAGTCACAGTTTTAAAATGGGACTACAATCATTTCAGGAAACATAATTTATTGACTCATGTCTGTGAAAAAAATCTACACAAAAACATTCATGAAAGCATACCAGTTGTGTCCTACTGGGATAATTCCACTATATCTCATTTAGATAATGAAACAATGATAAACTGTAAAACTTCACTGAATACAAATATTGGTCCTCAGAAATTATCATAGTCACCAAACTTAGTATAGGAAAACTTTTTTTTTTTATGTTCAATGATGAAGCTAATACTAGATGGGAATTTCAAAGCTGTCTAAGGAACTTGCAAGGTCAAGATTTTCTGTCAGTGATTAGTGATTTTTGAGTTTGCCATTGTTCCAGCTTCAGATGCCATAATGAACATTGATTTTTCAATTATTTTCAGAGAGCACCAAGTGTCAACCCTCTTAAAACCAAGTGCCTTTAAGATGTCTGAAGTTGTATGCCGAGCATTATTGTGTTCAAAATCACCAGTCACCATACACTAAATTCCCCTTAATTTGGCATTATTTTAATGAGAAATAGGTGCTGAAATAAAAAACCCTTAGGCAGCCCTGATTTCTTTCTCTGACACTGAAAGACACAAGTAAATATCTCCCATTCAGAAAACTGAAAATTTGCTAATTATTTTAAGACTTTTTCATTAATCTTAACCATGGTCAACTGAGAAGTTTGGTGAAGTTGACCCCAAATATTATTTTTTAGAAATAGATATATTCTTATGTAGGTATATATGGAATTAAGTGAGTACACAAACAGGAAATACACGTTTTTGTCTTTGATAGCTGGTATCAGATTTTTCCCTTAATATTCTTAGTATAGAGTCTTTATTGGTTTTAATAAGATTTTCCAAAATTTAATCTCTTATGATGTGTAAATAAGAAAGAAATATTAAATATTTTAATGTTCTTTTTATAAGACAATAACATTTCAAAGGCTAACGTAAAATCAAGCTGCTAAATTTTACAATTTTTCTGTCCAGCAGTTCATTTATATAACTGCCCTGAGTAGATGCTAAATGCTGCTTAGCAAATGGCCTTTAGAGTTTAAAAATAACTCAGTAAAGCTACTCAAAGGTAATACAACACTTCTCAGGCATCTTTAGTTTGAATTAAGAAGAAAGTAGGGTTAATTATTCACCCACTCATCAATATTTTATACACAATATTAACACAATTGAAATGTTCAGCAGATCTAGTTGTGCTTGTTGCTATGCATGGGATCACAAATGAACTTATTTGTCTGAAAGGCAGGATTTTAAATGGCAACAAGTCCTGTTTTGTAGACTGACTTTAAATGCTGTATTCACTAAACGGCATATTGTTCCCATGTGAAAATATCTTTTTTCTATATATTTTTTGCAAAACATCAGTGAATCCCAGTTAATAAAAGATCATTGTATTTCAAAACTGAGTATCTAATTTTTTGTAGTGTATCTCAAAATGGTACAAATGTCTAAAATCTGTGCTTGTAAAAGCTTCTGCTTTGAGTAGCCTTATGTTCCTTAATTTAGTCCTAGCAATCATCAAGCTATTGCATGCCCCATTCATGAAAATTATATTTTGCTGGGATGATGTAGCTTAAAGAATTCAGCTCTAAAGCTTTCTTATCTAGAGCTTCCATTAAATTATATTAATTTAAAATATCTATTGAATGATACTTTTACAAAAAAAGAATAAAACAAATTAATGGGTTGATTTTATGAAAATGACTCTTTACAGTAAGTAAAAAAGATTATCACAGTTTTGGTAACTTGCATGAGTTCATATTGAAAATAAATCTTTCACATGTTCTTAATGAATTTAAAACTGCTGTGCTCTAGGTACTTTCAGTTGTACGATCTGAAACAGTAGACACCATATAGCTTGTGCTTTTTATCTGGGAAGCCCACAAAGCGCACTGCTGCTTCATTAGGACTGCAGCGTTTTCTTGGTCTTGAGATCGGGTAGCGGACACTGCCATCAGCCAGCCACCCAGCGTCGCAGCGATCATATCCTAGAAGTTTCCAGGCAGCAAATATCTGACCTACTTTAGCAATCTGAGATCCATCTTTGAGGCAGGCCTGCACAGCTTCATCATAGGTCAGCTTGGTTGGCTGTATTAGGTAGTAAAAACGGCCTAATATAAAGAAAAAAGTCATTAGTCATATGAAATAACTAAGAAACGATGGTAATATATGGCATTTGAGGAGATATAGACAGTAAGGGTGTGTCCAGATGTGTGTGGACGTTTGGTTCCCTCGGGACAAGTAACAGCAGCGCACCTTGCACCACCGCGTCTTCTCCTCAGGGAACGCCCATGCCACATGAGCTTTGCTGTGTGACAAGTTGCCCTGGGTGGGGTAGGGAAGGCTGGGGCCAGCACTATGCTGGCCCCAGCAGCCTTACCAGGGGCCCTAGGGGCCTCCTGGAGCTGCAGCTGCTGCAGTCCTGCCAGGCGGAGCTCGGCTGGCAGCTGCAGTGCGGCTCCAAGCAGCCCAGCTCTGCTTTTTAGCAGCACATGCTGCCTGAACGTGCTCTGCTTCTATTTTTTTTTTTTTTAACTCCTGGATATCCAGGGGTCAAAAAGAACTGCAGTGTGGGGGAGAACCAGAGCAGCGCATGCTCAGGCAGTGTGCCCTTGCAGTGCGGATAACTCCGGACTGTGTGTTATGCACAACCATGCTTGTCTGGATGTGCCCTAACACTTTATTTATTTATTCTAGGACTCCCCAGTTCTTGCTCTGAATCCATGTTGACTCACATTTTGATAAGGGGAGACTACAGTCTAAAGAAAAAGAGCATGAGAAGAAAACAAATATGCTATTGAAAAAAAATAATGCTATGTATGATATCTACAGTAGCTTAGTACAGCACAGAACTCCCATTTTCCTCTCATCCAAATGTTATGCACGTCTTTCCCATTCCATTTAATTTATAGTGTGGGTTTCTTTTTTTCCCAGAAATAAAAAAAGGGGAGAGAAAGACTTAAAGGGAAAGGAGAGATTCAGTAGGTCAATTTAAGGTTCCAATCCTGCTTGGCTTCATGCTATCAGTCTATGTGCTGATGGAGAACAACTCGTAAGTCCCAATAAAATAGGTCTAGGAACTTACAGATATCATACTACACACAGTTCATAAAACTCTAGCTTATTCATGGAGGAGGGAAATTAATTAAATCTCCACAGGATGGTGGCTTTGCAATATCCACTAAACACTAAATTAAAATAATCACAGTGGGTCCCCCACCACCACCAACACAGTGGTATGTTTAAATTTTCCTCTTGATTGTATTTAAGTATGGGTAACTAAGGATAACAAATGCAGTTTTCTTAAAGTAGTTAACAACTGAAAGAACCATTCATTGACATGATAGACTATGTTTCTGATTAAGCATCACCACCCGTTAAAGTCTTTCTGCAAGACGGCTGAAAAAAGCAGAGTCTGAACTTGCAGTACATCAAAAACATGCCTGTCATGTAAGTATTTTTATAAGAGTCAAAACCACTCATGGCAGTTCTGTTACTATTTCTTTTTTAGGCATCAAAGGGTACTTTCTCACCATAAGATGACACTGCATTTGATGCTATGAAGAAAAATGCGTCTCAGTTTCAAGGTAATGAATATATATGCTGGCAAGTAAAGCTAACCTCTTGTGCTGAGTTATTAGGAGCATTGATACAAGCACAAAATACATGTATCAAGGAAAGATTATGTAAATTCATTGTGTTCCTTTCATTCATCATGTTCAGGTTTGTTTATCATTATTTGACAAACAATTAAGTAAGTGCTAGGTGAACATGAATTAGAGTGGACTTGGAACAGCGTTCAGGTTATGAAATAAAAAATCTGAGTAAGCATGCAAGACATTCATCAAACTAACTTGCTTCCAGTAACAATTTATATAAGAAATAAAGCAATTTATGCATGGCATCCTTTTATTTAATTCCAGAAGCAGATGCTAAAATTCTTTTAAAAGAAAAGCTCAAACTTTTGATGCATTTACTTCTTGTAAAGAAAACAAATAGTGTTCACTTTGTAATTATTTTATTACAAAATAAAATTAAAGGGAGAAAGATCTGCCCTTTAAGGATCATCCCCTCCTTCCTGCAAATACCATTGTCTGATTAAGAAGTGGATTTATAAAGACAGATCAGAATGGATTTATAAAGACAATGGGATTAACACTGTTTTTAGGCCTGTACCTTTTCACTAGCATCTGACTATATCCAAACAGAAATTTGGCAAAATTGAAAACTCTATGGTCACTAGAAAAACTTTTTTATGATGGTTTATTGCTATCTAAAAATTTAGAAGTATTTCAGTAAGAACGTTCCAAATAACATATCTGCATCAGTAGAACTGAGAAGCTAGATAATCTATTAATTTTATAAAACAGAAGCTGCATTTTAAGGGACTTAAAATGTTTTAAAACAATGGTTCTCAACCTGTGGTCCACAGACCCCTGGGGTCCATCAACTATGTCTAAGTGGCTTGTGAAAGTTGACTATGATCAATAAAAAGTATGTGAATACCCACACTTATAATTCAAAGGGGTCTGCACCTTAATTTGAAATTTCCAAAAGGGCCCACACCTCCATTCAAAAATTTTTAGGGATCTGCAAATGAAAAAAGTTTGAAAACTGTTGTTTGAAAACACTTGCTAGCATACGGTGTTGCTTTGGATACACATACACTTTTCTGACACTGCAAAAGAGTTTTATTTAAAGTGGATGAGGTTTTAAATCTGATATCTGGCTTTGATAGGACTAACTCCACCTAGTTTATTAGCAGCTTTTAAAACCATATGTCAGGGGAAAAATGATTTTTTTATGGATTTTCAATAAGGTCAGGCTTTTGACCTGTGACCTCAATGAGTGCTGTCACTATGCTCCACTTCTTTAAATAGGACAGTCCTTAATAATATACATTGTGCAAAAATGTTTACCTGGATCCAGAACATTTTGTTTTAAAAGCTACCCATAAACTGAGAACAAACTGCTGGCCTGAGGAGAAGAGGCATGCTCAGCAATAAATAAAATGTTAAACTCTAAAAGGTGTGCCAGACAGTATGTGAACAGCTATTTCAATTTGGTATAATCTTATCCCAAATAACAACAGAATCGAAGTGTAAAGTAACACCCAACAGTTTTTGGCTAGACCTTCATTTTCTCTTTGTAATGGGTAATCCGTTGGGGTGAGGTAGGAGAAACTTTGATCTTGTACCTGTGAGAATCCAAGAAGTCCTCTATCAATTGCTTTATTTTACCCTTCCTTTACTCCTATTTTTATCTCATCTGCTTTGCACCTGGGATAAAATTAATTCAAGCAAGAAGTTCTGCATTGACCACATACGCCATTAATGCTTCAGGTAAAGAGATGTGTAGGGCTTTATTGGCACAGAGCATTTTTAGTAGATCCTGAGCAAAGGGACAACATTTGCCTTGTGAAAGCTGTGAAGCTTACATGTCTGTAGAATTCCCTCACCTCAGACTGACAGTCCTGGTTACTGATCTTTCCACTTCTGCAGTTTCAAAGATCGCAAAACCCTTATTTACCTTTCTTCTAATTTTTCCATTGGCTACAGGGAAAATGACAACGATTTTAGTGTGGCTCATGTCCCACTGAGATTCTTACCTGGAATAACTGAATTACCAATAACTAAAGAAGTACTGCTTCTGCCACTAACCCACATACAAGTACAATGAGCTAGGGCCTATTTCAATAAAACAATATAACTGTCTAACTGCCAAGTCCAAAAATTAGATCCTTAAGGCTCCCGCTGAACAGCTCCTTCACTTGCAAAACACCTAAAATCCTGAGAGTGAAGTCCCTCTAGTCTATAAATTCTGCCACCAGACATGTGCACAGCCAGCATAAAACCCTGATGCCACAGATCGTTCAGCAGCTAAACTAGGCATCCCTCACTTAATTGATCTGTGGGCCTGGTCCCGTAGACACACTCAGGACACTGCTACTGGGTTCAGCTTCGCACAAAACACTCGCAGGATAAAGTGGGAGGAAGGGAGGTTCTCCCTTTGCCCAAGAACCCAGTAGTTAAAGCACTTGCTTGGAATTTGTGCATCTCAGGTTTAAATGCATCTGTCATCTGCCTGTTTTGGAGCAAGTATCTGTACCCTGTTCTTCCATGTGACAGAAGAATGTCCAAACTACTGGGTTAGAGGAATTCTGAGATGGTTTAATCTCTTCTCTTAAAGTTGTTTTATTTTGCATTAAATAATCCAAAAATTGGTCCAAAGTGAGGAGAGAATAGGTGGTTAACTGTATGGTTTGGTAGTTAGGGCACTCCCTAGGATATGGGAGAATCAGGTTCAAATCCTTGTTCCAATAATTATTTTATAGAAAGTGGAACAGCTTCAACAGGAAACACTAAGCAGTTCCCCCTAAATATCATAGTGGTGAACATGTTCTAGGCAGTCAGAGACTTGGGTTCAGATCCCTCATCTAAATCAGGCAGAAAAGAAGGGGTTTTGAACCTGGGTATTCCACACTTAAGAAGGGTGATCTAACCCCTGACCATAATGAAGGAAGAGTATCACACTCTCCTGTGTGAGCTTGTGTGTGTGAATGAAAAAGACCTAACCTACTTTAGGCATCTAACTTCAGAAGAAGGTTCATGGCTGTGATGCCTGAATGAAGGGACGTGCCTGTCTCTATCCTGGAGAGACGCACCTTTGTATCTTTGAGGGGCAGGGTCCCACCTCTTTCTTGGCATTTCTCATTGCTTATCTTAGGCAGTTCCATGCTCAGCACACCGGACTTTTCTGAATTCCTAAGAGCTTCATTCACTTAAGGGTTAGGCACTGGAATGCTGACACTAATGCCTGTTTTGGGGTTTAGCGTTAAGTGGTATACTCCAGAGCTGTCCAACTGGCAGTCTGTGGGCCACCTCTAGCCTGTGTGGAGTCAATGTGTGGCTCCCAGACTCCTGCCTGGTTATCACTGTTTCCATTGCTCTGGCTGCTGAAGTGGCTGGGGTCACTGGGGCAGGACAGCATGGCAGGAGCTCACTGACCACGCACCAGCACCAGCAAGAAGAGCTTGTTGCGGGGGTGGGGGGTGGTGTGGAGGGTTTATGCTGCTTGAGTGGTAGCAGCTAGGGGTGGCAGCAAGGGATAT